AACACAGTTAAAAAAATATATATTAAAAATTCAGTGGCTCAGTTAAAACGTTTGTTCTACGATCTATCACGGGGCTATTTAAACAGCGATGAGAAATTTCAAGTCACAGAGAGCACTGCTGTCCCATATGGAAGCCACAAGCCACGCACGTGTGACTATTGACAGTAGAAATGTGGCTAATCCAAACTGAGATGTGCACCAAGAGTAAAATACAATACACGCTCAATTTTAAAAATCTCACAGGGAAAAAAAAAATATGTCAAACATCTCATTAATAACTTTTTCATAGTGGTTATATGTTAAAATATGTTGGATATGTTAGAAACACTGGATGAAATTATACATGTTAATAAAGTGACTACTAGAAAATGTAAAATTACATGTGGCTCACATTAGATTTTTATTGGACAGCGCTGATTTAAAAATAAGGCAGTTTCCATAATATCCACTGATGAAGCATGAAGTCCTTCCCAAAGCTATGACAAATAAATATATACTTCAATTTGGCTAAAATTTACTGTGGATCTACATATAAAGACAAACTGGGCACATAAGCAGTAGTTTGGATTCTAAAAAATGAAAAGGTATTACTGCAAATAATTGGAAGGAGCCTTGGTGGTGCAATGGTTAAGCACTCCACTGCTAACCGAAAGGTTGGTGGTTCAAACCCACCAATGGCTCTGTGGGAGAAAAGAACTGGCGATCTGCTCCCGTAAAGATTACAGCCTAGGAACCCTATGGGGCAGTTCTACTCTATAACACATGGGGTCGCTGTAAGTCAGAATCAACTTGACAGCACACAACTAATTGGAATAGAAGTCGTGGTCGGAAAGAAAATCCAAAGGTACCATAGATAAGCCAGGCATTTCAAGGGCTAATGATCGAAGGCTTATGAAACAGCTATCTTTTCAGATGACCATTAAAAATTATTTAAGATTTTGACATATCATGATACGATGTAGCACTTCAGAGTTGACAAATATCTTTTCCATGTGTAACACCCTGTGATGAAAAAGAGGGAACATTTCAGAAGGGGCAGAATGGTGACAACAAACGCCCAGAGAAAGTAAAGGCAGACAGGATTTTGGGGTGTCAGTAGATAGGATGAGGTCTAACCGTAAGGCTGCAAATGCAGACTAGGACAGGGCAATGGCCAGTTCTGGATGCTCTGCTGGGAATCTGGGCTTTCCTGTAGACAGCAGGAATCATCCAGTGTTCACCACCAAGTATCGACAGGATCAGAGACGCACAGGGGGAAGATTACTAAGACTTGGGGAAAATAATCGAAGAAGAGCATGAACGAAGGCTGGAGGTGGAATTAATTCCGAATAATGGGAATAGGAGGGAAGGTATGAACGAGTCCTACGAGAATACAAAGAAAATACAAGGGTAACAGAAAAAGGTGAAGCACTGATGTCAGAATGAAAGAAGGTAGTCTTCTTCTTCCTCCGCCAGTTGCCATTGAGTCAGCCCTGACTCGTGGTGACCTCCTGTGTGTCAAGAGTAGAACTGTGCTCCACAAGGTTTTCAATGGCTGTGGTTTTCTCCGTAGATCACCAAGCCTTTCTTCCGAGGTACCTCTGGGTGGACTTGAACCTCCAAACTTTTGATTAGCAGCTGAGCGTGTTAACTGTTTGCACCACCCAGGGACTCTGAAGGTAGTCTAGTAGGAGGAAAAATGATGATCTGAACTCGTGCCAGTGGCAGTGGCAGTTCAGGAGACAACACAGTTATAGGTAGAGGTAAAAAGCTAACGGTGAGGCAGACTGAAAATACAAGAGAGACTGAAAGTGATCAAGAGTCTAGGCAGAAGATCATCTTGAAAGATAAGACAAAAAACAAAGGGATGGAAGGAGGTACTGAGAAATGTTGAGATATAGGGGGAAATTCATTTATTTATTTCAACAAACATGTACTGAGCACCCACCAAATGCCAGGTACCATGCTGCAGAAATTCACAATGGATGACTTCTAAGGGGTCATCTGCAGCGCATGAAGGAGAGTGATGTTGGGAATAAAGAAGAATGGAATTAGCTTGGATCAACTGCTATGAGGAAGGTGATAGGTTGTCAAATAGGGATAATCAGGTGCATCTAGTAACATTAAGCTCCCAGCTGATGTTTCAGCATGAATAAAAAATGGAATTAACTGATGGAGTTACATGACTTGATACATCCACCTTAGAAGCCCCAGAAGCAAATAAAGGGAGAAATTAATTTTTCCCAGATAAGAAGGGTAGGCAAAAATATATTTAGAAAACGTAATGGCTATAAGCAAGTCAGGATGTCCAACAGAATATGAAAAAGGGTTTGTCCACTGGGTCCATCCTGGTTAGAAAAGACCAGAAAAATGAAAGAGGATAACAAACTCAAAGCCTGAATTGAAGAGGTGGTTGGGAAGGAAGGGCAAAATTCGGGAGAACCTGATGAGTGTTTCAGTGTAAGATTAGAAACCCACAGTCAGAAAGGAACATCAAAGCTGCATACCCTGTGGGTGCAGTATTTCTGGGTGCTGACAGAATCCAAGGTGTGCTTGTATTGCAGGTAGCTGAGCTGGAATATAAATGAAGGTGACTAGGAAGTAGCTGGCTAGCATTTCAA